GACTGGAGCACAGCCAGCCCAGAGCAAGGCCCAGCCAAAGCCAGAGGTGATGGAGCCAAACGTGTGCAGGAGGAGGCAGAGGCCCCTGGAAAGTCACTGTCCAAGGGAGGAGCCTGCCTCGGAGCCACCGCAGCTCCAGGTGGGGGGGCCAGGGCCAGCCTGGCCTGGGGAGCCAGCACGGCCTGGGGGCTCAGCACAGCCCCCCAGGGCCACCCACGGTACCTGTCCCCACAGCCCCTGTCCCCACAGCCCCACAGCTCTGCAGCTGCAGCCCTGACACAGAACTGCCTGGAGTTTGGCCTCTTTCCACAGCTCGTCCAAGAAATCCAACCAGACAGATGGACAGGCAGTGCAGGGCACGGAGGGGAGAAGCAAATCCTCTGGCAGCTGATGGCTCTGGAGTAAACAGGATTAGGGGGCAGCACACGCTGTGCCTGAGCCTCTGCTTGGTTAAGCCGGGAATCTGGCTTAGTGTGCTCGGAAAGGGCACCCGGGAGCCATCCCGAGCTGGGTGTGATCTCCAGGGTCTTATGTCCCTTCCCAGCCAGCCAAACCCAGCCAAAGCCAGGAGGACATTCCTTTAGCTTCACAGCCATGTGGCAAGGCAAGGCAGGGATGTCTCTGATCCCTCTGCCACGCACAGGGACAAAATCCATCTCCCTGGATCAGAGTGCCGGAGTCAGAGCGTGCTTCACAGGGAGAGGGGAACGCGGAGCCTCCCGACAGTTCAGAGCCCAGGGTGCACCTGGGACAGCACCTGGGGCAGCTCAAGCCCTGCTGAGCTCTCTGGAGGATCACAGCAGGGGGGCAGTGCCGACCTACCCGCAGGGATTTGTGCAGCTCCTGCCTCTGGGATGTTCTGGTGGCCTCGGGGATCTCCTTGAGCAGCCGGGCCTCCTCCAGCCGCTTCGCTGCCCTGGCAACAGCAGGGGGAGGGATGAGCCCCTTCCCTGCATCCCCCCTTCCCTGCCCTGCAAACAGGCCTGCCCTCCTCCTCCTCCCCCAAACTGGGCTAATGCTGGATCAGTCCCTGAGAGTTCAAGCTCTGGGCTCTCTGGAGTTATTTCCCAGTGTGTGCTCCCCGCTCCTTGGCTTTCCTGTGCTACCCACAGTGGGATCAGCACCTGGAGCTGACAGATGGTTGCATCTCCCTCCTCATGTGTGCAGTTCCCTCTCACCTGGGCAGGGAGTAGTTTGCCAGCCACAGCCTGGCTGTTTTCAGGCTCCGTGGGCCCTCGTGGTACCAGGTTTGCTGATACTGTAAAAACAGGAATAAAAGGGATGGCAAAGCTCCTCCACTCATTCCCCTCAGCTGCCTCCTCACAGCACCTGCTCCCAAACCCTGCTGGCCTCTTTTTAAGGCCATAAAGCATCAGCACAAGCCCCAGAAAAAGGGATTAAGAGAGATAAACCACGGTCTCTGCCTGATGGATCCGATCTTGACACGCTGCCACTTCAGTCAGGAACATTCCAGCTGAGCACTTGGCTGGGCTGGATTTACTGACACATAACTCCTGTTTTACACATCACCCAGTACAGAGAGAGCCCAGAGCTGCAGAAATTATTTCTTAAAGCACAGCTCACAAATAATAAGGAAAAAATGGACTCAGAAGACAGACAGAGGCAAAAACAGATGCAGCAATAGGAACATATTTTTTTCCTCCCAAGTGTGAAGACAACCAAGAATAAAGAACTTGCTATGGTGAGTGAAAGCCCAAACAGCTGCTCTCCTGGTTTGCACACTGAGTGCAGCTCAGAACTTGGCCTGTGAGTACAAACCACACTTGGTTCTCCTCACTGAGAGCAAACATTGCCACGGGTCTGCTAAAAGGGAGAGCACAGGAAAAGCCTGAAGGGATGACATGAGAATCCACACACTGACCAAAACCAGGAGGCCTGGATCTACCAGAGACCTGGATATACTGTCTCTCCCTCAGCTCTGAGAGGACAGGAGACCCCCTCACCTCTTCTTTGGACTTTTTTGACCTGTCATCATCCTTCCTGGTCTTCTTTAACGCGTCTGTGCCAACCACTGAGAGGATGTTTCTCAACCTGGGAAGCAACACATGAAGTTGGATTTAGTCAGTGATTCCTCAGCTCACCTGACAAATCATCAGTGAGACCTTCCTTCTGCCTTGGGGTTCTCAGAACACAGTAACACTGGTTTGGGTTGGGAGGCATCTTAAAGCTCATCCCATTCACCCCCTGCCACAGAGCAGGGACACCTTCCACCAGCCCAGGTTGCTCCAAGCCTCGTCCAGCCTGGCCTTGGACACTTCCAGGGATGGGGCAGCCACAGCTTCTCTGGGCAACCTGTGCCAGGGCCTGCCCACCCTCACAGGGAAGGATTCCTTCCCAATATCCCATCTAACCCTGCCCTCTGGCAGTGGGAAGCCATTCCCCCTGTGCTGTCCAAAGTCCCTCTCCAGCTCTCTTGGAGCCCCTTCAGGCACTGCAAGGGGTCTCCCTGGAGCCCTCTCCTCCCCAGGATGAGCACCCCAGGCTCTCCCAGGAAAACACCAGGAATGGAGCAGCCATGGAATGCACCCTGCCCCCAGCAGACACAGCACCTCTCCCTGCGCTCTGCAGGCCCCTCCCCAAAGAGGGTGATGGGCTCCCCCAGGGCCCTCAGGCAGGCCTTGACCTCGGCGTCGTCCGTGGACACGTTGATCTGCCGCGCGCGCTTCCGCCGCTCGAACTCCGCCAGCACCTCGGCCTGCCGCTCGCTCAGGTGGTCCTCCAGGTCAAACACCTCCCCTGGCACGGAGGAAACGCTGCTGGGCACGGGGGGGGCACCGGGGGGACACCAGGGAGGCACCAGGGATCAGGGGAGACACCAGGGAGCCATCAGGGAGCACATGGGGGGAACACCAGGAAGCACAAGGAGACACCAGGGAGCAGGAGGAAAACATCAGGGATCAGGGGGACACCAGGGATCACAGGGAGACACCAGGGGGACACCAGGGAGGCACCAGGGATCAGGGGAGACACCAGGGAGCCATCAGGGAGCACATGGGGGACACCAGGGAGAACAGGGAGGCACCAGGAAGCACAAGGAGACACCAGGGAGCATGTGGAAAACATCAGGGATCAGGGGAGACACCAAGAAGCACAAGGGAGCCATCAGAGAGCACAGGGAGACACCAGGGATCACAGGGAGACACAGGGGAATGCAGGATCACAGAACCACAGGATCACAGAGTCACTGGATCACAGGGTCACAGATGTTTCACGCTGGAAGGGCCCCCTGGAGCCCACGCAGCCCGAACCCCCCCTGCCCAGGCAGGGTCACCCCCAGGAGGTGACACAGGATCACACCCAGGTGGGTTTGGGATGTCTCCAGAGAGGGAGGGACACTCCACACCTCCCTGGGCAGCTGTTCCAGGGCTCTGCCACGTGGGGAGGTCCAAGGTGCCCGTCCTGTCCCTGCTCTGAGATGGTGCCCAGACCGACAGGAGGGATAACAACAGGCATTTGGAAGCCTCATGCAGGGAATAAAACAAAGGGTGTTTCCATCCTCACCACTGCTGATGTTGATGTTCCCAGCCTCCAGGGCAGCCTTCATGCCCTCCTTGCCCAGCAGCCCCGTCTCCCCCTTGGCCAGTCTCTCCCTCTCCTTCTCCTCCAGGCTCCCATAGAAGATCGGGGCTCTCTTGGCAGGGGGGGCATCGCTCTCCTCGGCTGGCTTGGCCTTGGGAGGCTGCAGGGACAGAACAGTGTGGGGACAAAGAGACAGCGAACAGCCTGGCTGTGCCAGGGAAAACGGGATGTGAGACATGGAGGGGCCCTGGAATGGGGTTTCATGGAATTCCACACTGGGTTGGGCTGAGAGGGAACTTGGAGTTCATCTCATTCCAGCCCTGCCAGGAGCAGGGACACCTCCCACTCGACCAGGTGGCTCCAACACGGCCCTGGACACTTCCAGGGATGGAGCAGCCACCGGACAGGGAGGTTTCTTATGTCCCGAGGGCAAAGGTATAATGCCACGTTAAACTGCATCCACCAGGCTGTGCCGTGCCCTCGGCTTTAAGGCTCTGCGGGATTTATTTTTTTGGAAAAAGTTTTAGAACACGAGGCTTCCCCTCCTCCCGCTGAGCCCGAGCTCCTGGAAGGTGAGTGAAGGTGAGCAGTGCCGGGTTCCTTTCCCCGCCGAGGGGCGGCACAACCCCCCGGGAAACAGTAAAGGATTCGGGAAAACACGCGGGAAAACAAACACGCGAGCGCTCCGGCCCCGGCCTTTTGAACGGCCCCGGCAACTCCGCGAACCCCGCGCGGGCCCTCCCGCGGAGCCGCCGCCACACGCGGGGAACAACACCCACCTCGGGGGGCCGGGCCCCGGCGCGCGCCGCCGGTGCCCGCGTGGCGGCCATGGCGGGAACGGGACCGGGAACGGCAGCGGGAAAAGAACGGGAAAAGAACGGGAATGGGACGGGAATGGGACGGGAATGGGACGGGAATGGGACGGGACGCGCTCGGCGTCCAGCACCTCACGGGCACTTCCGGGTCGCGCGGTGCCCGCCGGGAGGTGTGGCGGGGAGAGCAGAGCGCGGGGCACGCCGGGAGGAGCATTGCCCGCTAAGGGCGGGACGCGCGGGGCATGCCGGGAGGAGCATTGCCCGCTAAGGGCGGGGCGCGCGGGGCACGCCGGGAGGTGCGGCGGGGCGGGACAGCACGCGCGGGGCACGCCGGGAGGAGCGGCCGGGAGAGCAGAGCGCGGGGCACGCCGGGAGGAGCATTGCCCGCTAAGGGCGGGGCGCGCGGGGCATGCCGGGAGGGGTGGCGGGAGTGAGTGCAGAGAGCGGGACGCGCGGGGCACGCCGGGAGGAGCATTGCCCGCTAAGGGCGGGGCGCGCGGGGCATGCCGGGAGGGGTGGCGGGAGCGAGTGCAGAGAGCGGGACGCGCGGGGCACGCCGGGAGGAACATTGCCCGCTAAGGGCGGGGCGCGCGGGGCACGCCGGGAGGTGCGGCGGGGCGGGCGGGACGCGCGGGGCACGCCGGGAGGAGCGGCGGGAGCGCTGAGGGCGGGAGCGCTCGGGCCGGTCCCGGTGCCGCTGTCGCCGGTCGCGGGGTCGCCGGTCGCGATGCTCCGTCGGAAGCCGACGCGGCTGGAGCTGAAGCTGGACGACATCGAGGAGTTCGAGAGCGTGCGGAAGGAGCTGGAGGTGCGCGGGGCCGGGCGCGGCGCTGCCCGGGCTCGGCCCCCCCGGCGCTGACCGGCCCGTTCCCCGCAGGGCCGCAGGAAGCAGCGCGACGAGGCCGAGGCGGCGGCGGGCGGGGAGGAGGCGGCGGCGCTGGCGCTGGGCACGGAGCACAAGAGCCGCGAGCAGCTCATCAACGAGCGCATCGGCTACAAACCGCAGCCCAAGGCCGGCGGGCGCGCCGCGCACTTCGGCACCTTCGAGTTCTGAGCGCCCCGCCCGCAGCGGCCTCGCTCTCTCCATTTTCGGTTGCCTTACTTAAAATTTTTAAGTCCGGTTAACACACCCATGAACGCCCCTCTTGGCCCGGTGTTTTGTTTTAAATAAACACGTCCTTTTTTATTAAAAGAAAAAAAAAAGTCATCATAACAAGCGCACGGTTGTTAAATCGTGTTAATTGTGAGACACCGCTGGAAATGGGAACACCTGGAGGTAAAACCCTGCGGGAGGATCCTCGGGGATCGGGTGATGTGCTGATGCCAAAGCAGCCCCTGGGATGTTGCGTGGGAATCTCCAGGCCTGCCCACCGAGGGGAGGGTCCTGGGAAGTGTCTGATGGGTGTTTTGGGATGAAGGCAGCGATGCCACAGCTCTGGGTGCTCAGGCTCTGCTTCCAGGTGCTGCTCTGCCCTCTCCTGAGCAGCCAGGAAAGAACCCCCTGTGTGTGTTGAACATGTCCCAGAGCTGCTTCCCAGTCCGTGTCACAGCTGGGCCCTGAGCAGGGAATGGCTGCACACCTGGATGTGTGCACTGGGCACGTGGATATGATGGAAAAATATCCCATGTTTTCTGACTAAGCAGTTTTTCCTTTACAGTTCCTCATTTCACCTCGGTGTCACCTCAGCTGCCCTGGTTTGTCACCCTGGGAATGGAGCCCCAGGGGCTGTTGCTGCTTGGATCAAAGGTCACCAAGTATTTCCTTATGGACGGTGTCATGCAAAGCCCAAAGGGAGGGTGATTTCTTCCAGCACATCCCTGGATTTGCCCCCATCAGTGCCTGGGCTCTGGAAGGTGACACTGTGGGCAGAGCCCCACAGAGGAGGGGTCTGGCACAGAGCGAGGGGACCTGAAGGAACCAACTTACAAAATCTGAGCAGATGGTGGCGTTTAGGAAACTCTGCTCCCTGCAGCCCTGGGACCTGCACCAGCACTCCCACAGGGAATTTGGGAGCTGTTTTCTACCATCTTCCAGCACAGCTCCAGTTCTGGTCTTTCAGTGTCCCAGGCTTTCGGTGTCCCTGGATTTTAGTTACACTCAGGCTTCACGTGTTGTAGGTGCCCCACATGTACAGAACTGGTGGCCCAGAGGACTCTGCTCCTCATTCCCCTCCCCTGAACAGGGACACTGGGCCCTGCTGCTCCCTCTGAGTGGGGCACTGAGGATTGTCTCCAAAACACACCCCTCAGCACAGTAAAATGCAGTCTAGTTTATTGGTTAATTATATACAGGGAATTCTTGATATTCACAGTAACATCAGACGAGTTACCTCACAAAGAGCGAGAGCAAAACCAGAACTGACAGTCCACTGTAAACAAAACTAGAAATCCTGCTGGGTTTGGTGGGACTGGCTCCAGACAAACTCAGAAGGCACTGAAAGAAAAACAACAAAAGCCAGCTGAGGGACACAGCTGGATACTCTGTGCTCCCTCCAGGATGATAATCCAGAGGCACAGCATGGAGACCAAACATCAGGGACACAACAGGCACGAGGCATCACAGCCCAAGGAGGACATCACAGCCCAAGGTGGTCCGTGTGTGTCAACAGGAATTTCCTGTCCTCAAGTCATAACCATTAGAGCCCTCAGCTCGCTCTGTTACAGGACAACCTTGACTTCAGGCAGCACAGGGGCTGGGGCTGCCCCAGAGCAGAGCCCACCCCTAGGGAGGTCAAGCTTTGCTCAGGCTCTGCCAAAGCACAGGGCTGGGAACACACAGCCAGGGGGATCTGGTGGGAAGGGTGAGGCTGGGACACAGGGAGGTGGCTCCTCTGGATTGCCACCCTGACCTAAGGAAAGCGCAGCCCAAGCAGGCAGGGACACGGACTGGGCATGGCCCTTCCCCAGCTGTGCCTTGGGCAGTGAGCCCCTGAGCAGGGAGGGCACAGCCACTTCCCCCCACACCTTCCCGGGGCATCCCGGGCTCCCAGAGCTCCAGACAGGCTGTGGGAGGCACTGGGAGACTCCTGCCCAGGTGAGCACTGTCACTGAGGTCAGTGACAGGAGATTTTTTATTTTAGCTCTTTAGGCACAAAAAGCTGTTAACTCAGCTCCTTTTAATCTCTATTTGCACTGCCCAGAGAAAGCAGGATGTCTAAATGAACAGCTGGCATCAACCCAGGAGGGCTGGCTTTAGGAGGTGCAATTGCAGTGCTGGCAGCAGCAGTCATGGATTTCCTTCCCAAGAGGGTGGAGAGGGTGAGTTCTGTGCTCAGGGAGCAGCACCAGCACCAAGGAGCCCCCAGGAGCAGGGATGGCTTTGCCCTGTAAGGCTTCCTAAGATAAAAATTTAAATTCAGCCTCTGTGCTGCCTGAACTTAAAGGAGTAACAGGGAGGTGAGGGCTCTGATGGTTAGGAGATTGAGGACATGCAATTCTTGTGTCAACAGACATGCAGGATGTCTGGGGGTGATGTCAGAGCAGACAAAGCTGTGTCCTCTCTGGGGCGAGCAGGGGCAGGAGAGGAGCCCCGGAGGGCAGAGGTTCTCATCTAGGGGGAAACAATTCCAAGGGCACAGGTGCTACACATAGAACGAGGCAGGAAAGCAAACAAGAACCAAATTTACACTGGAAGAGCCACAGCCTGATCTCCAAGTCATCCACCTCTGCTCAATCAGAGAATTCAAGTCAGGTCACTTGGACACAGGAGAGGTGGGGAAAGGTGACAGGCCAAGCAGGTTCTGGTTCAGAGAAAGACACAGCAAGAGGTATATGAAGTAATTATTGTCACCACACAAAGCCACTCCTGGCTATTCCCTGTGCTCAGCCATCCTGTAACGGCACCAACTCCAGCTCCTTCCAGAGAAACCGATGGGAACAGTGCTGGAATCGCTGGCCCTGAGCTCCTTCAGGGGTTGAGCCCACAGTGCAAACCTTCCACATCATCACCCACATCTCCAGCATTTAACAGCTCCAGTTTTCCCTGACCAACACCTGGATTTCCTCTCAGCTCTCTCAGGGATGGGAAGGGGCAGTTTTTCCAGTCCCATGGAGAGCCACGATTGCTGGGAGAGCAGAGACGTCCCTGTGACAGGAGCAGAGAGGGAGCACCAGTGGGTTTGCAGCCTCTCAGTGACACAACTCCCTTCAAAGGCCAGGCTGGGGAAGCATTTTTCCTGTCTCTCACCAGGAGGTGGCCAGAACTTTTCCATGAGAACTTTGCCTCTTTCACCCAGAAACCAGGAACCTAAGCCTGCTTTTAACTCAGCTCCTTTTATTCTCTATTTGCACTGCCCAGAGAAAACAGGATGTCCAAATAAACATCTGACATCAACCCAGGAGGGCTGACTTTAGGAGGTGCAATTCCAGTGCTGGCAGCAGCAGTCATGGATTTCCTTCCCAAAAGGGTGGGCTCTGCTCAGGGATGGCCTTGCCCTGAAAGGCTCCTGGGCTAAAAAGCCATTCCAAGGATCCCTTTTCCTCACACAGCTCCTGCCAACGATCACCAGCAGCATCTCCAGAGTTAAAAATGCTCCTGTGTCACCCCAGAGGGATTCCCAGTTCTCATGGCACACACACCAGTCCTGCTCTGAAAGTGGTGCCTGTTCTCAGTGCCCTTCTCAAATTCCAAATGTTTTCCCTTTCAGCCAGTTATGGGCACAAACTGGGCATCCTGGGGAGGGTGAAGACTCCAGCTTTGCACCACATTCCCTACACCAACCAGCAGCTTGATATCCAAGTGCTGACCCACAGCTGACCCCCAAAGCCTGCCCTGGGCTGCCTCTGCCCCTCTCATAGCCCGTCCTGCCTGTGAGATGTGCAGAGCTCCCAGCACGGGCACAGTGGGATTGGTAAGACAGGAGGAGTCATCCAGCTCAGGAATACTTTTAACCAGCCCAAGCTGCTCCAAACTGCACCTGAGAAGAGACTGAAGGCTGCTGTAGTCCTGTTTCCCTTCTCTTTCCCAAATCTCTCCTTTAAAAGAACATGGCTGTTTAACCCCTTCAGCTCCATCCAGGAATTCCCTCTCCAGACATTTTAACTTTAGTGTCATGAAATTGTTACTCAGCTCTTGCCTCATTTACAGAACTAGTTTTAATAACCCCAAAGTCTAGCTCTGGATCCATCCTGGTGCAGTTCCACATGAAGTACCTGCAGGTTCAATGGTTTATTTAGAAATTTTTTTGCCCTGTAAATACACAGCTTGTCCTGCGTCCGCTCCGTGTGTTTCCATGATTGGGAAGGGAAGGCAGCCAAACTCCAGTGTTCTCCCTGGAGGCTGAGTAAAGCTGCTGGATACATCAGATTGACAACACTCATCATCCTCTGGTGAGCCTGGAGGGCAGGTCCATCCACTCCCTGCAGCACACGGGTCACATCCTCGGGTCAAAGTCCTCCCTTGCCAGGACACACCTGAGTGTCTGATGTGCAGCACCAAATCTTCCTCAGAGGCTGAGTCCTTCTGCAGCAGAAGGTGTCATTGGCCCCAGAAGCCACAATGCCAGGGTGATCCCTCCCCTGGCATTATGTACACATTGAAAAAAAAAAAATTAAAACAGCCATTCACACAGATAGAGCTCTATGGGCAACTTTGAGCTTTTCCTGCTGTTCATCAAACCCTCACTGATGAGTGTTTACAATTTCAAACCAAAACGGTTTTGTTTTCTTTTTTAAAAGAGTAATTTCTACATTTCTGTCAGCCAACTAATCTCAATCACAGCATAATCTAAGAATAAAGCAAATCCTGGCCAAGAATGGCTGCCAGGGACTCTCAGGAGTCAGGGGGAGCAGCACAGCCCAGCTCCTCACATCCCTGCGCCCCAGCCAGGAACCTGCGGTGGGTTTTCCTTATCGTGATTCTCTTGCAGCTCAGGAATGATCCAGTCCTTGGGATGGCTGCGCTTCCAGGGAGCAGGGGGGTGGAGAGGCCTCTGGGCAGCACCCAGTGTTAATGGCAGTGCTCTGTGATATCCACCACGACTGCCTTTTTCCAGCTGAAGAAGAAGTAGCCGGTGCCAGCTCCCGCTGCCACGGCGATGCAGAGGTACCCGTTGTAGGTCATGAAGATCAGCATGAGGAAGTAGCTGACCACCACCTGGATGATGTGCAGCACAGTCTGCAGGAGGTGGGGGAAGCTCAGCATCTGCTGTCTGGGAACACAAACCCAAAGGACAATCAGCAAACATGGAGACAGCTGGGAAATGCACATCCCCAAGGAAAAGCTCGGCTCTGAGGCTGCCGGGGCAGCACGGAGGGCATGGGATGGCACAGAAGGTCACAACAGTCTGGACAGGGACTCCTGCACGAACCTGGAGCTGGGGTTTTCCCCACAGAGCTGCCTGCTGGCAAAGCAAGTGTGGAACTTGCTGGGAGGACTCAACTTTCAACGAGAAACAGACTTTGTCAAGCTTATTTTACCCCCCACTCAATAAGCAGAAGGGCTCCTGTTCTGCACAGTAGCTTTGACTACCTGTACCACAGAAGTTTTAAGTATTTCTTGTCAGGATCACTGCCTGTAACACCCAAACTCTGTTCCTGGGAACTCCCCAGGTGTGTTCATCACAAAACCCCCAAGCTCATCTGGCTCCCTGCTGCTCCTTTCCCCCTTCTGTGCCCCATCCTCAAGGGTGGCCAAGCCCAGTGTCCTCCAGTGTCCCAACACTGCAGCAAGTTCCTTCTGTCCCAGTTCCACCTGGAGGGATTTGCTTTAGAGTGCAGTGAAACCCTTACCCAACAGTTTTGTGTGTCTCCATCAGGATGGTGCCGTTGGGGCCTGGCACTGGCATGGAGTTGTAGCGGATGCTCACTTGGGATTTACGGAGCAGACACTCCCGGGCAATCTTAAGGCCTTCATAAAACATGGCCAGGAAGAAGACAGCCACAAAAGCACCAGCCATCTCTGACAAGAGAGGAAACATCATTGTCTCTGTGCAACAAAACCTGTCACCAGGGTCACTGGGGGGTTGAACAACCACGCTGGGCTGTGCGGGTCCCATCCGGGCACCGTGTGCATGCACAGGTGGGAAATGGGAATTCCATCCACACACTAACTGGAGTTTCACCCAGTAAGTGAAACCAGCAATCACTTTTGCTAATAAGACCAAATTCTTGAATTATATGAACATCTCCCTTTCGCCCCACAGATGCCGTTTAAACCAGACTCAACACAGCACATCTCTGCATTCTTGGCATAAATAACAATTCCTGAAACATTAATCCTTAAACACCAACTGCACACGTTTTTGCTTGGACTGGACAAGACAGTGTTACTAACCTCCAGGAGAATTGATTGTAAGTCCAGAAAACAGCAATGGCACATTCTCATAGCTGAAGTGGAAAGTCATGGCCTGCCCAAAACACAAAGAACACCAAGGTGAGCCTGAGCAGCTCATCCCAGATGGAGCTCAGAGCAAGAGGCAGCAACAGGGGTTGTACCACAGCAGGAACTCAGATCAGTTCAGCTGGTCACCACACAGACATGAAGAAAATCTCCAGTAAATCAGTGTAGCACCCACAAAGGGACAGAGCTGCAGGTCCCAGTTCCAGCGAGCAGCCCTGACCAGAAGGCACTGTCCCTCCACGGTACCTCTTACAGGTAGGTGCCTCCTCTTGCTTTTGGAGCTCCTTTTCTCCTCAGCACCAGGAGTACCAGGGATTGGGGATGTCTCCATGGAGCTCACCCTTTCCTCCTCATCCTCTCAGGGGTTGGGGTACAGGGCACTTTCCCTTCCCCACCGTGACCCCTTTGAGCTCACACAGGTGAGGGTTGTACAGCTGAGTCCTCTGGTCCCTGTGCCAGCAGAGCTGCTTCCCTATGGAGTTCCTAATATCCCATGGGAAACAGAGGCCTAAACACAGGTGCCACGAGGTGTATCAGATGTAAAGCAGGACCACAACTTCCCCTGGGAGAAAAGAAGGGCTCCTGAGGCTGCACAGTGGGTGCTGTGGGGAGATACCAGTGATCCCCTGGCCAGCTGGAGGTGACATGAACTTCCCATCCAGGTAAATACAGGGCAGTTTGGCATGTCCTGGCCACAGCTGCACACAGTGTTTTCTCATGGAAAGTACTGACCAAGCAACAGGAACTGCTGTTTGAACTCTCCTTAATTAAGGTTATTTGCTGAAGCTCAGAATTAATGATTCATCTCAGCATCTGTGAGGATCAGCAGACACTCATTACCCCCAGAGCAGAAATCACTGTGAAACAGCTTTCTGAGAGCACTTTCATCTCTCCAATGGACTTAACATTTTTACATTTAAAACAAAAGCCACACAAACCAAAGAACTGCAGCTGAACCAGAGCCTGTTACTTGGAGCCAGTGAGGAATGGGAAGACACACCTCAAATGTGCTCAGCCTGTTAAATAAGATGCTGTGCCTAGGCACTGCCTTCCCTGACAGATTTATGTGCCACATTAATGTAAAATCTTGTGTAATTACTCACAGTTTTCATCTGCAGGGCAAGGCAGGATCCTGTAGCTATCCCCTGAACACCTGACACTTGTAAAGTAATGACATTTATATGGAAAATAATGGCCCAGAGGATACCAATACTAAGATGTGGGATTACAGGAAGAGCTTTACAAGGACAGCAGTGGCAGTGTTGGACTCTGAGTTGGACACTGAGGGGAAGCTGTTCCAGTCCTCTCTCCTGCTGTGGTGGTTGCAATATAAGCAGAAGTAGCAATTCTTGATTCCCTCCTCGGCACAGAGCTGGCAAACTCCAGCTGAAGGTCTGTAAAACCTCCTCCTGAGAACCCTCTCATGTGAAATGGGAATGCATACTCTCTGCCCTCCTTCTGAAATTTAACCCTAAACAGACATGTTTGAATAATCTAAAACTCACTCCAACAGTATTTGGAAAAGGGAGAGAAAGCTGACAGAGTTCCTAGAACTGGTTACACACAACAGATCCTACGGCCATTTCCATGGAAACCCTGGGCAGGATCTCCACAAAGCCCCAGTGGTGCCAGAACGCACAAGCCTGGACCTGCTGGAATCCAAATCAGCTGGAGCAGCAGGATCCAGGACCTCAGTGCCAACATGGCAAAGAGCCCTGGCAGCACTTTGCTCCCCAAAGTGAGCTCCAAGGTTCAGGAGGGAAAGGGCACAGAGCTGGTGGGGGCAGGTCAGCACAGCCCCTCACCCTGCTGAGCTGCCTGGGGCTCTCCCTGACAGCCTGCAGAGCTCCATCCCTCTGTTCCTGGCAGGAAAATGCTCACTCTGCACTCCTGCCTTTAGCTGGCTGCAGAGCACACCCCAGCCTGGCTGCTAGAAAAGTTTTTGCAAGGAAAAAAAACCATTTTGCCAAAGGACCTCCAGCCCTGAAATCCATCTCACGTTTCACATCCCCTCACGCCTCACCCCAGGAGAGCCCCAGTGGGGTCTGGGTTTTACCTGGGTGGATTCCTGCCTTCCAAAGCTCAGTTTAACCTCCAGTTCTTAAGAGCACAGCCTCTAAGATGACAAGTTACCCTGAAGCACAGACAAGGGAAAGCTCTCTGGTTAGTGCTGACCTCCCCACTCACCATTGCCATCATGTCAGATCCGTGGCCGTGTCCCGAGGGGGCTGTGGAGTGGAGGTGCTCAGGAGGATGAGTGGCTGCCAACATGGAGCTGTTCCTGTGGTGCTCGTGAGACATCTCCATGGCAGGGAGGTTCAGGAAGGCACATAGAAAAGTGGGAGCCTGGAAAACAAAAACAGAAGAGCTCTGCTAAAAAAAAAAAATGTGGTTTCTCTACTGCTACTCCAAGAGCCACTGAGAGCTTCTGCCTCTGGAAAACTCCTGGAGCATCCTCATGGTCCTGCTCTGACTGCAGGGAGCACAGAGCAGGACAGTTTAAAGGAGGTGTGTCCCCCTGAGCTTGACATCACTGTATTGCTGCACCATCCTCCACACTCCTGCCAGAAAGGGAGTTAATCTGGTTGAGGTGGCACATGGACGAACGAGGGCTCACTATAAAGGAACATTTCTTATCTGTAAGAGGTAAAAAACAAAGTCTCTTCTCAATTGCAGTCATGCAGGAGGCAAAAACATCTCAGCCCCCACTTTAAATTGCATATACTAAAGGATCAGATTACGAGATTTCTCTTAATTGACAGTTATGCATTTTCCTGGGGACATGTTTAACACAGCAATTGTGTTAGGGGGTACAAGACCTACTGCCAGGCAAAGGTCTGCAACAGCCACAGGCGACCCAATTTCATTTCCATGAGCTTCACATTGCCACATCTCCCCTCTAATCACATTAACACAGTGAGAGAAACACTCAAAAGGCTGCCAGTCCAAATCTCTAATCTGGTTACTACAAATCAGGGGTGTCTGGACACACCAAGTGAAAGACAAAACCCCCCTCCTGGGCTGGATGTTGGACGTGGCTCCTGCACTGCCTGGGTTGGGACCTGGACAATTCCTGGTGGGAAATGGAAATCACCAGGTAGAAACAGCAACAAGACAGAAAACAAGCTGGGAACACCAGTCAGTCCTGGAAGGACAGGATCTGTCAGACTGGACCCTGCCTGGAATACTCTGGACCCTCCCACTCCAGTCCAGCACTGAAGTAAAACCAAGTGCAATAAAAACCAAAGAACAGACGCTCTACCAAATGAAAGTTAAAAAAATAATGAGAGGAGACATCCTTCCCTCCAGATAAACCATCAGGAGAGTTTACAAGTGCAGTTTTTCAGGTTTTTAAGCCAAAAGGTGACATGGTGTTTGAACAGGTAGGTATGGCTGTGCTGAGATTGGAGAGAGGAAATAAAACCCTGGGAGAGCTTCCTAAACTGAAAATAGCAAATAAAACCCCACATGGCAACCAGCTGTGGAGGAGCTGGTTCAGTTTGTAACTTGGGGATCCTAAAAGGCTTTAAATGAAAGGGAACAGTGAGAGAAATTCAAGATTTGGGGAAGACAAGGAAAAAAAGATAAGTCAGCAGTGCTGGGGATGAACTCCTGAGAGGGAAGGAATGCACTGAAATTAAATAATGCAGGTAAGCACCTGTAAGCAAGAACAGGAACACACAGCTCAGGTATGTCCTGTGTCTCTGCAGCTGAGGTTTGTAGCCCATCCCTTATTGCATTAGGTAACTCACAATAATCCCCTGAAAAGTAACTTAGAATTAATGGCACTGGATAAAGCAGAATGAATTCCCTGCCCATATTTCTGCTAAGATTTTTTAGCTCACTTCACCCCTATTTGTGCTTAAATATTGAGGCCAGAGAAATGTCCACAGGGAGGAAAAAAAAGAGAGAGGCCAATGGAAGCAGCAGCTCAGCTGACACAGAAGAGCATCCCCTGGGGACACCTGTGGAGCAAACGGTGTGACTTCCACATGGCACAGCTTTGAACATCATCCTGGTCCAGAGCTGAAAGGTTCAGGCTCTAGAACTGCAGCCCCAAAATACAAAGCCTTGGGAAAGGAACTCTCTGCCAAGACACACAAACTTCAAATTGTCTTTTGCATCAGGGAAGGAAGAACAGCCTGAGTGCTTCAGCCCCGGGGATCAAAGGTGATTGTGCCGTGAGAGGAAGAACAAACGTCACGTAAGAACTTCCCCTCCCCGGCCAAAATCTCACAGGACCAGAGAACCATGGAATATCCTGAGCTGGAAGGGACCCACAGGAATCATCCAGCCCAGCTCCTGGCCCTGCACAGACACCCCAACAATCCCACCCTGTCCCTCAGAGTGTTGCCCAAACCCTCCTGGAGCTCTGGCAGCCTTGGGGCTGTGCCCACTGCCCTGGGGAGCCTGTTCAGTGCCAACCACCCTCTGGGGGAAGAACCTTTCCCTGAGATCCACCCTGAGCCTGCCCTGACACAGCTCCAGCCATTCCCTCAGGTCCCAGAAGCAGAGATCAGGGCTGCCCCTGTGTCTCCTCCCTCATCTCCTCTCACTTGACTGACCCCCTGCTTTTGCTTTGGGTACAACATCCTCACAGTGACTCCTGACCAATGATCAGTTATCCAACTCAGGATTCCACACTCCTGCCAAACTCCACAGGTTCCAGTGCACTCCACAGAAGCCCTGGCTGCTCCCCAGATGAAAAACTGCCTTAATGGCTGGGTTGTGTCCAACCTGTCACTATTTTCCTTCTCACTAATCATCATTTCTCTGCAGAAACAGAGAAACAGCGGATGTTTTCAGGATATTTGCTTTGTAGGAACAAAGAACAAGGTCAGGTATTCAGAAGGGGCTGCAGTGGCTGGGCAGGTCTTGGTACAGCTCACAAAGAGCTTGGCCCTCACCTGGGCAGCTCTTTCCCACCCTGCTCCCTCAGTGTGCAGCACCAAACCCAACCCCTGCTGCAGTGACCCAGCACTGAGGGACATTTTATGATATCCTAAAAGATGGGGGATTAATAGTGGAAGAGGAAATAACCTTGTCTGAGCCACTTCAGCTGTGTTTTGTGTCACTAAAGGCAACCAACACATGGATGAATCTCTGTTTAAAAATAAATCAGTTCCAGGGGACAATCAGTCTCTGATTTACAACTTAGGAGTTCTCTACCTGTGTCTTGGAGTAAAAACAACATCCAGGGCAGCAACAGGTTAATGGGAGTGTAACATTTCAAGCTGCAAATCTCTGTTTGGTTTGCACAGGCTCCTAAGAGACGATTGACAGATGTGGGGCTGAAGCAGGTGCTGGTTTTAACAAAGCTGGCTCCATACCTGAAGGGAAAAAACCCCCACATACAAGGTTCTATTATTGTAAATTCTTTAAATAGGTTTAGCCTTGTACAAGCCCAGCCCTTCAGCAGGTATTTCTGTCTGAATGGGTGACTTGATCCCTGGCTGCTGCCTGTTCCCTGTGTTTGCACAGGGAGGAAGAGGCATTGGGGTGGATCCCTGAGCATGCCCTGGAGGGGGGATCTGCCCCAGCCTGTGGCTGCATCAGGCTCAGGTATTCCAGAGGGCCTGCACACCTGGAGGGCACAGACCCCATGGTTCACCTGTCACAAGGGTCACACACACTGATTTTTTGTATTCCACACTAACCTACTGCCTAAGAAAACAAACAGGGTGGAACAGGAGGGAGGAATGAGGAAATCCTCTCCAAGGCTCACTTCTCTCCCTCTCAGTGCTGTTACCCCAGGTCAGAGGAACCACAGCCCCCATTTCACAACCCCTCACATTTTTAAGGAAAACAGCAAGACTTGGAGCTACACACAGGGCTTTTCTTCCCTTAAGCCATCACCCTGGAGCAGGACTGAGCTCAGGCAGGCCCTGCTCTCACAGCTTTGTGTCCCACCCCTGCAGTGCCACCTCGGCAGCTCTGCAGACCGGGCTGGTTCAGGGAGAGCTGCAGCAGGAGCAGGATCTGACAACAGCAAACTGTCAGCACCAGGACTTGCTTTCACCCTCCACCAACATTTAACCAGTGCTGCCACACCTCACACATACAAGGAAGCCACACTCACCACCCCAGGGCACAGGGAAGGGGAGGGCAGGTAGGATATGCCAGGTACAGGGCAGGTAAATGAGCTGGAGATTTGCCAAACCCAGAGCAGTTTTCTCAAGCAGGTCTCAGCCACAACATCCCTACCATTCCACATAACCTCCACCACAGCTTCCCAATCTACTGCTTCTGCTGTGTTCATCCAGAATCCTGCAACTTCCCAGCAAAACAGAGTTTTCCCTGCGGCAAATGCCCAAGGAAGTTACAGCTGGACATGCAGAAACAGGACAGGCTATGGGAAGGACCTGCCAAGCTCCCAGAAAGCACTTTAGAAATCAGCTTGGTCTGAAACACGGTGTGCAAACAAAGCTTCCTAAAGTCACATCTGAAGGGAATGAAGCCCCTTTCCAAATCAGAAGTGTTAACAAGGGAGCCTTAAATTAAATCAACGCCCATTACAGCAGCAACTCCTCCCTTCAGGACAGTGCCTCATCTTCCCCATGCCAATTCTGAAAACACCAGCAATAAAACCAATTCCACTGGCTATGCCCAAAAGGCCCAGAGCCTTATAAACCACCTCCCCAGTGTCCTTTACACCAGTTATTTGTCCCACAGAGAGGGTGGTGCTGCAGTGGCCAGCACACAGTGGCACGAGCCCACCAGCCCTGCCAACAGGACAGGCTCCTGCACGGAACCCTCCCCACTCCCCTCAGCACAGAGAGAGGGATTCCTACCCAGGGTCTCCCCACCAACACTTCTGGGAGCAAGAACAGGGTCAGGAAGTCCCTCTGTCCTCCTGCAGGTGTGAGAAAGACCTGGTAATATCTGCTAAGAATTACAATGAAAGTTTCCAAGAGAAAGCCAAGGGAAAAAGATTAAAACCAGCAAGTTGGAAAGGCAGAGCTCTCTTGCTTGCACACCAGGCTCGGCTCAGCGCTGTGGGACACGAAGGAATGCTGCACACAAAGCACAGGAGTAATGGAAAAGGCAACCCAGAGTCCCCAGTGCTCTACTTACAGGCTGTCTGAGCTCCGCTGGCTCCCAGCTCGTGGTCCCCAGCCCAGTCAGTGCCTTTATTTTTGTAGCAGTGCTGTAAATGGAGTGGGAGGGAAGCAGAGCCTGCAGACACTGCAGCTCTGTTCACCAGCTCTGCCCTGGGCTCCTCTGAATGCTCGGGCCACTCATCAGGAGACTGCTTTGAGTTTATTCAGTTTCCTGGCAAACCCCACCACTTTAACCACTTCCTTTCCAAAGGGGTGGACTGGTGAGTCCTCCAGGATCTCTGGAGCTGCTTAAAGGCACAGCTGAGGGACAGACCAATTGTGCCTGTTCGTGCTTTAGGAGCATCCAGCAACAGCAGCCAGGGCAGAACTGCACAGGCTATACAGACACACCTTACAGATCCAGGGAGCAAGTATTGAATCCCTCAGCAACACAGCAGAACATGTGTTACAGACACACACACTGCTGTTCTCCAGCGTCCAAATTCCCCTTGGAACTCTCCCAGGCAGCTCCAGCAACCCCAGGCTGGCACCCAGACACAGGGAGGGACTGTGCTGTGCCCAGCAGCCCTAATTGCACACCTCTGTTCTTCCCTTGCACAACTCCTGAAGAAGGAGCTCTCAGTGCTATTTTAAGAATTGGAGGTCACAGCAGAACTGTGGCTTGCTCTGGTACTGCCTCACCACCTCAGAGACACAACCTAAAGCCTTTCCCAGGAGTTTAAGGCTTCCTAAAAGCTCAACACACCAGAAGGGGTTTGGATAAAGAGAGAGAAAGAGAAGGGCATGGCCTGGGAGCAGAGCCCCAGGACATGCTGAGGCTCAGGCTGTCAGGCTGCAGTTCTGATTTCCTGGGCTTTGTCCTTGACCATGGAAGCTTGAAAATCCATTCAGGCCAGATCAGCAGAGCCAAACAGGAAACTCTGTGTGACAGAGGGCACATTCTCCCTCTCCACCTGTAGGTGGGAGGGATACAGCTGAGCTGTTCACCCCAACGGGTTTCAGGAGCTTCTGGAGGAGGATGACAGGAACTCTGGAGGAGTGGAGTTCAGGGAGTGGAGCAAAATAAGAGCTCAGCAGGGTTGCAGACAACATCTTGTGTTCAGCTCCAAAAGGGGACAATGCCTGGGCAGGCTGGGACGTGCCAAGGTGGAATCAGTGAGCAGGGCCATCAGCAGGGAGAGGCAGCCAAGGGAGCACATGGAGCTCAGCTGGAATGCACGAGCCAGGAGGAGCAAGGGGCTCTCAGAAATGACATCCAGGACTGCCCACGCTGCAGGAGGGGAGGAGGAGGAGGATCACACAGGAGATCTGCTCCTCTGTCATCACCTCCACTGAGGATCCCAACTGGAACCACTACAGCACAGTCCTGGATGCTGAGGGTGATGACTGAGAACACGGCACACCAAAACCACTCCACTGACACAGCAAAAACTCCAAACAACGGCCCAGTTCCAGACTACGGATTCCAGTTGGGATGGTGGCTCACACAACCTTCCTGGAGCTGCACAACATTATTTGGCACCCTGATGCAGTTATATACATTAATCAACTTTTAATTAAAATGAAGACTAAAAGGAGTTGATGAAATATCAGTGTATGTTCAACCCTCGAGGTCCTGTCCCTTGCTTTGAACCGAAGCACCCCTGAGCTGCACAACCAAGGCAAAGCTGGTCACACTCGCTTTGCACCATCCCCATGACGTGAGGAGGGGCCAGAGCTCTTCCTCTCAGCGTGGCTACAATAATGTCCCTTTGATGGAGTTTATTTTCATAGTAAACTTGTCTGGTCACCTTCTGTTAAGAGGCCCTGCTTGGTCTGCTTCCCTAAAAGGGGACGGTCATTCCTAATCTCCCAACTTCTGCAGGCTCCTCAGGAAACCTCTAAATCTTTGAACAAATAAAAGAAAAATAATCCAGGACAGGCTGTTCTTTACAGGACAATGCACTGGACTTCATTAGGTGCAGCACACACCATGTCTCACTAATGGGCCCAGTGGAGTGAAAGGCAGCTGAAAACAGGCCTGCAGAGCAGCAAACCTCAGCCTCTAAGCCTGATAACATCAGAGGAAAGGCTGAGAAATGCTGGCAAGAGGTGGCAAAATACTGGGGAGCTGGTCAGGCTGGGCAGCAAACAGCCTCCTGTGCAGTCAAGTGTTTCCCTCAACACACTGGAACTGCAGGAGGTGGAACTGCAATGAGAGAAGGAACTCCTGGGAATCAAAACTGAGGGGTCCCTGCCAGCCCTTCCTGGCTGTAGCCTCATTTCTGCTGGAGAAGTCTGATCCAGCCCAGGTTCAAGCTTTGCACTGAGATCCAGCTGTGATCCTCTACCTGATGTCTCACAAAGGGTCCCTAACTCCATCAAGCAGTTACATCTGGCAGTTAGACCAGGTTAATTCTTGAAGGTCCCTTCAAACTTCTAGTCCTATATCCTATTCCAATCCACAACAGCCTCTTGCTGCCCACCTCTCACCCTCAGCAGCACAGGTCAGGGCACCCCCCACTGACCACATCGCCTTCAGCAAGGGGTGACAGAGCAAATCTGTCATGCCCTGGGTTGTTCCTCTCCCTCACAAATCCCAGGTCAGCAATGCAGGGATGTTGCTAGGCACACATCTGTCACAAAGCCTGGCTCAAGGGAGGTATTTTTGGGTGGCAGACAGATGCTGAAGGCTGTCGTGAGGCTGAGGACACTTATCCACACAAAGCACCCTTATCCACACAAAGGACAACCAGGCAGGACACAGCAAAATGGTTTTGGAGAACCAGATGTCAAGAGTGCCACGGACTGAAGTGTTCAGCAATAACCTGTTCCCTTCCTGACAAAACAACCTGCATGAGCCCAAATTAACCCGAAGTCCCCAGTGGGACACTTTCAAAGGATCTGAGCACATTCCACCCGTGGCTGTCTTGGACAAGCCCAGCCAAGGACTATAATAAGCTGAGCAAATCCAAAGTGCAGCCCAGGGAACAAAGCCCAGCTCTCCTGGCCTGGAGCTGCCCCCCTACTGACCAGAAGCAGAGGGCCAGGAACAGACATTTCAGACACAAGGTGTTGTTTTTACTGCTACCAAACACCAATAAACACAGTGTTCATGCAGGGCAGATGCTCCATCAGCAGACAGAACTCCAGTGGTGCCCAATTAAAGGTGATTGGCATCTCTTCCACAGGGCAGAGTTTGCCTGCTCGTCTCTTGAGTGGCACAAAACTTCCTCCTTTTCCAGCTCCAGGGGAACAGCCCCCAGCTCCAGCCAGATCCTCCCACTGCACACACAGCAAGGACACACCCCTGTGGCACTGGGGGCCAAAGCCAGAGCAGATCTGTTCTGCACCCTCAACTCCTGCCCTCAGGAGTGACTTGCCTTGCTCAAGCCTCCCAGGGGCACAGTTTCTTCCATTCTGTACATGGACAGTATTTCCTACCCTGTTCTCAACCAACAGCCTTTTGGAGCCTCTATTTTCCCCGTGCTGTTCATTGTTCCCCTTTCACTCCAGGTGCATCCCCCTTTCTGGCACACAGAGAAGTTTCTGGAAAGTGGCAGAGTTGAGGCACCTCAGGACATGCCAGCCCTGAGGAGTGGCTGCCATTCCCACAGCTCCCAGAGCAGAGGAGATGCAGCACCAAAGCTGACTCAGGCACCCACCTGCAGACAGCAGCAGAGCTTTAGAGATGCCAGAACTGACACAGGAGGCCACGTCACAATTTCTTTAGGAAACATCCAGGCTACAAGGCTCCTGCCAAAGCATGGCAGACACCAGAATTCGTAAGGAATCAGCATGAATTCAGAGCTGGTGCTGACAAGATTCCATCAAAGGCCACTCCCAGGAGGCATCTCCAGAAGAACCTCCTCAGCACTCCCTGGGCATGTCAGAGGTCAGGATCAGCCCAGCTCTGCAGACTGGCCACGCCATCAGAGCTTCACCTCCCTTCCTCACAGCGTCCAGGGCAAGCCAGAGGAGCACAGTGACATATCCAGGTCACAGAATCCCCAGGATTCAGCCTGAAGGTGCCTCCTTCCCCCCACCCAGGAAGGGAAGAGGCAGAGATAAGGCAGGATGGCTCAGATCCCAGCGGTGTGAGAGGAAGGGGTGGGTGCAGCCCGGAATCACCGGGAACCTCCTGCTAAAAACCCTCAGCACTCACCTGGGAGCTGAGGACAGCTGGGGACCCTGAGCAGTGAGGAGATGCAGGACAGCAGTGGGAAGGGGAGACAGAAAAGCAGGGCCACGTGACCCAGATTTCCAAGATTACACAACTCCTGAATAAACAGACATTTCCTTACGGTCTGTGGTGGTTTGTGCACAGATGTTACACAACCAGACACAGGAATGGTGACCAGGGAGATGAGATCCACGTGGCCAGAGAGCTGAAACCACCCTGCTGCCTCAGGGCAGGCTGGGAACAAGAGGGAAGGAGTCCTGAGCCTTATGATACTCTTCAAAAACTTGATAATCTAAAAAAAAAAAATTAATTAGTATTTGGAACTGTATCCTGCAAGATTAGACAACTTCTGCTTCCTTAGAAAAGCCAGGTCTAGTGAAAAATTTATCTTCCTATTCTATATGTCCTAATCAAGAACATCTTCTAACCTAACAGAGCTTTTTTAAATGAAGGGAAAATTTATATCTTAAAATGAAAAAAACTACCTTTTGCATACAAATTTCTTCATTGTGCTCACTAATTCAGCATCCAGATCCCTGGAGGTTCAACACCTCCTGCATCATTGATTTG